GTAGTTAAAGTGATTAACTACCTGCCTGGCACTTAGTTAAGGGGTTTTATTCCCTCCCTAACTTCAGGGAAAAATCCCTACCTGGGGAAACAACCTTTCTCGGAGAGGTGACCTTGGTTAAAACACATAGCGCCAAGAAGGGGAGCAAACATATTAAGAACAGTATGCTATATACGCCAGGTCCCTTGAAACATATGCTGTGCAGACGTTTCTTCTCTGCAGCGACTGTGTCAAGCAGCAAGGATGGACCGGCTTCCGGCAAGCCTTATAAAATACTTTGTTGGAATTAGACCTTGGTTTGAATGCTAGCTCTGCCACTTACTAGTTCTACATCCTTGAAGAAGTTATTTAATCTCTGAATCTTAATTTCTCCACCTTTAGAGTGGAAAAATATCCTATATAATAGAAGGCCAATATACAAATTGTCCCCTCGACCAGGAGTTTGACTGGGAGTTCGACCAGGGGGTGGGGCCGGGTGGACAACCACCCCTGATCGCCCCCGCCCCCCTCCCTGATCAGGGGCAGGGCCGGCCGGACCCCACCTGTGCTCAAATTCGTGCACCAGGCCTCTAGTACCTCATAAAATTGTTGTGCAGTTTGTATGACAAGTTAGCAAAATGCCTAGAAACAGATAATCAATAAATGTTTACACCCATGCCTAAATAGTGAGATTTGAGAAGCAGTGTAGGATTCATCATGCCCTCTTCCTAAAGATTTGTCCTAGAATTTTCACCATTAAAATTATTCCATAAAGGCAGAACTTATAACTCAAATGGCACCAAAATTATAGAAATCAGCCAGAATTATACAATAGAGAGAAGTGGTACTGAGGCAAACAATAGCAGACCCATCCTAAAGGCATTCAAATACACATCTTTTAAGAGCGTGAAAGGTTTTAATGCTAGAGAGATGTTTTAAAATACAGCATTACATGAGAGGGTCTAAAGCTTTGGAGGTTTTCTTTGGCTTTTGCCATCAGAACATTTATTATAGTTTTCTCTTCTTAGATTGTGGTAAAATATACATAACATACAATTTATCATTTTAATCATTTAAAAATGTACAATTCAGTGGCACTTAGTATATTCACAATGTTGTGCTACTATCCTCACTATTTAACTTGAGAACATTTTCATCACCCCCAAAGAAAACCCTGTACCTATTAAGCATCATTCCCATTCCCCTCCACTACCCAGCCCATTAATCTACTTTCTGTCTCTATGAATTTGCCTATTCCAGGTACTTCAAGTAAATGGGATCCTACAATATGTGACATTTGTGTCCAGCTTCTTTCACTCAGCATAATGTTTTCATTTGTTTAATAGTAAATAATTTTCCATTATGTGGATATCCTACATTTTGTTTATATATTCATTAGTTGATGAACATGTGGACAGTTTCTACTCCATGATGATTGTAAATAGTGCTATTATGAACATTCTTGTAGAAGTTTTTGTTTGAAGATCTATTTTCAATTCTTTGGGGTATATATCTAGGATTAGAACTGTTGGGTCACATGGTAATCCTGAATTTAACTTACTAAGAAACTGCCACACTGTTTTCCACAGCAATTGCAACATTTACACTCCTACCAGCAATGTATGAGGGTTCCAATTTCTCCACATCCTTACCAACATTTGTTACTTTCCATTTTTAAAAAAAGTATATGGACTTCTTTATCAGAGAGCCTAATACTGAGAGATAAGACAGATGAAAGAAGAGAATGAGGAAGAGGACAGACCCCCAAAGCTGTAAACATTCAGTAAATAATAAGCTGGCTAGTATATGAAGGGCCATTTCTGAAGAGGGAAGAACTAGTTGACAGCTAAAGATTATCAATGATTTCACAATTTGCCTAAAATTGACTCAGAGCATAAGTTAATTAATTTATTAATTAATAAACCTCCAATGCAAGAACATTATTTATTCATTCTTTTGATCCAGTCAATATACGTTTCAAGAGTACCTGGTATATAGTCAATTAATAAGAATTTGTTGAATGAATGAATGAGTCAGCAGTTTTATTCATCCAATCTAAGAATAATCACAATAGGATTACACAGGTGGTTTACTATACCATAATGCCAGATTATATTGGTTGTCATCCACCATGAATAGAAAGAAGTGCCAGAATTATCTTCTTAGCACTCAGTTTCACAAGTATCAACAAAGAAAATATAAGAGTAAGGTTCTAGTCTATTACTCAAAAATAGAAATTAATAACAAAAACTACAACCAAAATTATATTAACACAATCTTTGTAAGAAAATTATCACAGGCAACATGTAACTAAGTAACAAGTTACCCAACCAAAAGAACACAAATGCTGTGCTTTTAGAAGTACTTCACAAAGTATCAACATGAATCTATAATTAAAAACTTTCAACATATACAAACCAAAAATTTCTTTTGTGTTTTTTAATCTGGCTCCACGAAGCAAGAGACTCTCTGGCCCCAGAGGTCTAGGGGAAAAAACACACACACACAAAAAAAACAAAAGCATTAAATATATTAAACATTTAATTAAATTCTAAAACAGCATCTTTAGCAGAAAGTACTTGAGTTATAGTTAAGTATTTTTATATAGAACCAAAATCTTAGCTACTATTTAGGTCAATCATAATGTTAGTTACTATAGCAAAAACAACTGCTTTAGCATTTCAGTTACTTTAAGATCAGTGGCTCAGAAATAAGATTATGCTGGTAAATAAACTCATAAATCCACCAGACCAGTTACAAAAATTTTAAACATAAAACACAACAAAATAAAAGATTAAGCAATGATTTTTAAATGTTTAATAGAGGATGAAAATTTTGAGCAAAATTAATAAACAGTTTTCAAAGAAAATAGAGAATTAAAATGCAACGTAAATAAGAATTGTAGCATGATTTGTGTGTAAATGCATGAGCTCTGCACAATTAAAATTACTTTGGATTATAAAACAGCATGTAGTAAGTGAGTTAGTACTTTTGTAGGCAAGATTGACACTACAACTTTACTACTTGCATTGCAAACTTCTTGGAGCTCAGGTCTTCTTGCTGTTTGAATTTCTCTCCATAAAGGAGATATAAAATGGGAAGGAATAACTAGAAAGGAAATTGAATTTTTTTATTGATAGCAAAATGATAGACTCTGTTATGGATAAGTTAAAAAGTCTTAATTTTGTTGAGATTCCTTATGCTTTTCTGAAATATACATACACAGTCATCCAAATCAAACAGAATTGGAATCAAGATGTCTACAAACCCAAACACTCTAAAAAATCAATGAACCAAGGAGGACCAGGTGTTTGGGACATGGTTAACAAGTATGGTTTTAATATTGAATCATATTTGGAGCACACTACATGGATATTCCAAAATCTATTAACCAGAAGCCATAAAACAGCTCCTTTTCACGTGGTACTGGTTTTAACAATGAATAGAAAAACTTTGAACTCACACTGGCATATACAATTGGGATATAATGATAGAAAGCTTTGAATTAAAAGGCAGTTCATCAGCAAACTCTGGTTGCTTCAGCAAAGACCATGGCTAAAGAGTTCATTGAACATGCTCCTGTGTTAATGTTTATTAAAAATGTGAATCACTGCTGATGCATGATAGTTTTGGTGGCTTGACTTGAGGATTTCATTTTAAGAAATGCTCAACTCTTTATGTCAGTGACTTATTTCAAGCAGCCAGTTTAACTGAATATGTCTCCAGAAAAAAGGTGAAATGCTAATTTGATTTAGAAGTTCAAGGGACGATTCCAAGATTTATTTTAAATTTGGCTTTATGGTCATGAGTAACAATGTAATCTCATCCTATTAGCAAATCTTTGAAATGAGCTTAAGTCCTTTCATGCAGCAGCCAGAAATTAACCTTAATATAGAGGGAAAACAAAACAATCAACCAAACAAAAAACCAAAAGAGTAAATAAGAGGTTCTGGATTGGCCACTAAGTACTCTAGTTTGTGTTAAATGATTTTGAAATGAAGAAGTCTGTAACACTTATACTTGTTAAACATTATAGAAAACATTTCTTGTATTCTAGACTTTAAGTGGTGGGTAAGGATTTGAATAAGAATGTTTATGTTTCCTTTTATGTTACTACCTGATATTAGAAAAAAATATAAGTATATAAATAATTTTGCTAAATTATTTTGATATTACTTCATGAAATTGCTTCACCCTCACTTGTTGCTGCTATAGATAACTAAAAGATAAAGTGCTAAGTGCTTTCAAGTGAACCCTTTTACATTATATGAAGCTTACTTACCTAATATTTCTTTAACTTGATTTTAGTCCCTCCCCCAAATAATGTGATTTTGTTCTTACCTTACAATTTCTTCCATTTGTTGAGTTATTATCATTCGTCCCATGAATCTATCAAAGAATTCATCATGTTACAAAAAAACCCAAATATATGTTACTTATGACATCAATAGGTGGAAAACTTTAGATACTTTTGGCACTATTCTTATACATGAAACAAACCAACCTTTTCTTTTTATGAATGGTCCAATAATTATGTTAGAAATTATAAAAATCAATATTTACCAGTCATTAAGCTCTAACAATTCTTGCCATCCCACTCCAGCTATGAATGAGGTAATGAATGTAAAAATGTTTTAAAAATGGTGATATAAATGTTATATATTATTACCATTATTAGTTTTATCATCATGAGAATTTATATTTGCTACATAAATATACATTATTTAGCCAACAATGAATGCTCAAATATTTCATCACAGTTTATTAAATAAGCTTCCTGTGATTAGAATCACTCATTTACTTATTCATTCATTCATTCATTCATCCAACAGATATTCATTGAGCAACTACTATGTGTGAATTAAATGGTGGGAATAGAGTAGTAAGCAAAAACCTATCAGTGAACTCCAAAGCTTCTAGAATAGGTGGCTTGTTATCAATTAATTTTCATAACCTGCCCTTTCAGTTCCAAATTCCACTACTTAAACAGCTCCATAGCACAGTCAATTCAAATGAACAATTATTTTCTACTACAGTGAGAAGTAAATTTTGAGTTGAAGCAAATTCTAGACAGAGCTTCATGTTAATCATTTAACTAGGCAAGGCAATATTAAGCATTCCCTTCCCAATGTCCCCTATTATTCCTCCTGTTTCCAGGTCACAGATGGTTTATCCCTTTGGCTTCATTGTTTCTTGCTAATCTCTTACTTCTGCTTCATTCAACTGTCTGTATCAGGGAAATGCACTGCTGTTTTTTCTTTTTCTTTTTTAATCTCCACTTAATGGATTTTATGTAGCCTTGTTTCCAACTTCAACTTTGAATTTAGATTTAAAGAACTAATTCAGCTGTTGTCTCCCTGGGCATCTTTCAGAGATGATGCAGACCACTCTTTTGATTTTCCTGAGCTAAATTCCAACAAGAGAATTCCTGTATTCCTTCATTTTATCTGTCCTGTTATCTTTAATGGTAAGGCAGTTCTTGTTGGTTCATGCTAGTTCCATGCTGGATTAACTCATCTTGAACTTTCCTTAGCCCTTTCTCCAAAGCCACACTGTTTTGTTTCAAAGCAAAAATAGCTTTACCATTCTCTTTTCTGATTATAAAGACTACTAGAGGTCTGGTGCACAAATTCGTGCACGGGTGGGGTCCCTCCCCCTGGCTGGCGATTGGGCTGGCCAGCCAGGGGGAGGGGCCATGGGAGGTTGGCCAGCTGCGAAAGGTTGGCTGCGTTGAGTGTCTGCCCCCTGGTGGTCAATGCGTGTCATAGCGACCGGTTGTAATGGTCACTTAGGCTTTTATATATATAGATATACACACAAACACACACATTTCATAAAATGATTCAGATAATATAAAAAGGATATCAAAAAGGAAATACCATTACAGGTAATCCCACCACTCAGATACAAACACTGCTATTATTTTGGGATATGTTTTCCAGGCTTTTTTTCATACACATATAGATAAATATGTATCTTAAAAACAAAAATGGGACCATACCTTAAATACTGTTGGTAATACCCTCCCCCACTTAACATGTCCTGTCAAAAACATAGATCTACATCATTATTTTTAATGGCCACGCATAATATTGTGTTTTGGGGGTTACTGTGTAATTTATTTAAATAATTTACTACTAATGAAAGTTTATGTTTTTTCCAACTTATGGGTAGTCTAAACCAGTCATTTTCAACCTATTGCATCTCATAGTACACATAAGCTAATTACTAAAATTCTGTAACACACCAAAAAGTACATTTTTTTTGCCGATCTGACCAAAAAATAAAAAGGTATAATTTTTATTCATTCACACAGACGGCTACAGTTGTGTTGGCTGTTGTTATTTTTTAATTTGACAATCTAAGGGAAAAGAGGTCAGTGCCTCTGACTAAATAGTCAGGTATTGCATGTTTTAAAAATTCTTGCAGTGCCCTAGCCTTGACTCAGTGGATAGAACATCAGCCTGTGGGCTGAAGGGTCCTGGGTTTGATTCTGGTCAAGGGAAGGCACCTTGGTTGCAGGACCCTGGTGGGGGCACGTGCAGGAGGCAACCAATCCCTATCGATGTGTCTCTCTTACATCAATGTTTCTCTCTCTCTGTCTCTCCCCCTCCCTTCCACTCTCTCTAAAAATCAATGGAAAAATATCCTCGGGCGAGATTTTAAAAATTAATAAATAAGTTTAAAAATATGTTTATTAGAAAAAAAAGGAATAAGTAAATAAGTTTTAAAACATGTTTATTAGAAAAAAATAGAAATTTAAAAAATAAGTAAAATAAAATAAAAATTCTTGCAGCATACCGGTTAAAAATCACTGGTCTAAACAATGCAGCCCTGAACATCCTGTATACATATCTTTTCACATTTTCATTAAGCTAAGTTCCTACGAGTAGTAGAATTTCATTATTTTGTTAGAAAAAAATTCCTAGACGTGGAAGTTCTAAGTCAGAGTCAAAAAAATTAAGGATCACTCGGCTGCTTTTGTGAGAACAGACTGCAAGAGAAAGAAAGGGGAAAACTGGTAAGAATAGCAGTAAGCCAGGTAGGAGGTTATGCTGGCTAAGAACAAATTAGTAGCAGTGAAATGAATAAAAGATGGTCACATTTTGGATATATTTTGCAGGTGAAGAAATAAGATGTTCTGATGGGTTGAGATGAGATGTGGGAAGGAGGTGAGGAGAGGTTAGTAGAGAGGGGATGTTGACTCCAGGGATATTGGCCTGAAGAATTGGAAGGAGAGACTGTCATCAACTAAGGTAAGGAAAGACTGTTGGCATAAAAAGTTTTGGAGGGAAAATCAGCTCAGTTCTCAACATGATTAATTTGAGATTTCTACTAAATGTCTAAGTAGAACTGTAGAACATGAACTTGGATATAACAGTCTGGAATTTGGGAAAAGACATCTTGAATGGAGATATAAATCTGTGAGTTAGCATGCAGATTATTTTTAAAGCCATTACCTTGGATGCAATCACCAAAGGCGTGAGTGTAGATAGTGAAAAGTATAGGTAGGAAAGGGAAGAGAACCAAGGACAGTGCTGGGGCACTCTAACATCAAGAAGTCAGGGAGAAGAGGAGAACTCAGCAAAGAGACTGAAAGGAGAGACTATTGAAGTAGGAGAAAAACCAAGAGAGGGGAGTATCCTGGGAGCCAAGTGAACTAATTGTATCAAAAAGGAGAAGCGATGATCTAGTCACTGGATTTTGAATTGATGAACTTATTTATAACAAGGCGCCAAACAATGTTTGTAATAGCAAAACAGAGGAAGAGTTAAGTATTGAAAAATTAGGTAATGGTTAGGTAATAGTATATGTACTTAGACTATTATGCAGCCATTAGAAATGATCATTAAGAATACTGTACAGATGAGTCAATGGGGGAAAAAGGGTGACATATGTAATACTTGCAACAATAAAGACTTAATTTTAAAAAAGAATACTGTACAGTAAAATGGAAAACTTTTTTAAATTACGAAAGCATTCCACATTCTTTCAAGAAATATTAGAAAATATGGAGAACAAAAATAAATAAAAAGCAGCTGAAATCTTACCACCAAGAAATATCAAAAAATTTCTAGGAGAAACCAAGATGGCGGCATAGGTAAACACCGGAGATTGCTGCCTCGCACAACCACTTCAAAAATACAACTAAAAGACACAACGGCCATCATCCAGAACCACAGGAAGGCTGGCTGAGTGGAAATTCTACAACTAGAAGGAAAGAGAAAAGCATACGGAGACTCAGAGGAGGTGCGGTGCGGAAGTAAATACAAAGGTTCGGAGTTGCATGCGGAGAGGGCTGGCAGCTGAGGACACGATTGTCTTTTTCAATCGGGAGGGAGTCTCAGGCTCTGAGCTCCAGTTCCGGGCGAGTCTCTGGGGACCAGACTCATACGGGAGAAACAGGACTGTCTGGCATCGGTCGGAACTCGAGGGCAGCTTTCTCTCGGAGGCGCTCGCAGCGATTGCTGGGGCCTCTGAGGGCAGGACTGAGAGCAGCCATACTGCTCGCTCCGCCCGCCCTGTTGATCCCCTGGGACCCCGCCCTGCCCAAGCCACGGGAGGCTTTTGCATATGAAAGGCCTGGCCCTTTGCAATCTGA